CGGCGAAATTTGCTCGATTTTTGGCCGCTAGCGGCGAAAATCGCGCGGTTTTTGGCCGGTAGCGGCGAAATTTGCTCGATTTTTGGCCGCCAGCTGCGAAAATCGCACAGTTTGATTTTTTATCCAATTCTGACTCTCTGCACCTATTTTCAGTTTCAAATTACGACGTTTCATACCGAAAATATGCCAATTACTGTAAACGGCGATGGGTCATATTTTGCCCAAACCTCCCTGCAGTTTTCAAAATGTCTGAAATGTCGGAAATTTGACTCCTGAGCGTGATTTTTTATCCGAATTCTGACTCTCTGCACCTATTTTCAGTTTAAAATTACGACTTTTCATACCGAAAATATGCCAATTACTGAAAACGGCGATGGGTCATTTTTTGCCCAAACCCCCTGCAGTTTTTAAAATGTCTGAAATGTCGGAAATTTGACTCCTGAGCGTGATTTTTGAGCCGAATTCTGGCTCTCTGCACCTTTTTTCAGTTTCAAATTACGACGTTTCATACCGAAAATATGCCAATTACTGTAAACGGCGATGGGTCATATTTTGCCCAAACCCCCCTGCAGTTTTCAAAATGTCTGAAATGTCGGAAATTTGACTCCTGAGCGTGATTTTTTATCCAAATTCTGACTCTCTGCTCCTATTTTCAGTTTCAAATTACGACTTTTTATACCGAAAATATGCCAATTACTGAAAACGGCGATGGGTCATATTTTGTCCAAACCCCCCTGCAGTTTTCAAAATATCCCAAATTCGATACCTGAGCCATATTTTGGACCCAAATTCTGGCTCTCTGCACCTATTCGCAGTTTGAAATTCCGACTTTTTATATCAAAAATATGCCAATTGCTGAAAGCGGCGGTGGGTCACATTTTGCCCAAACCCCCCTGCATATTTCAAAATATCCCAAACATCCCAAATTCGATACCTGAGCCATATTTTGGACCCAAATTCTGGCTCTCTGCACCTATTCGCAGTTTGAAATTCCGACTTTTTATACCAAAAATATGTCAATTACTGAAAGCGGCGGTGGGTCACATTTTGCCCAAACCCCCCTGCAGTTTTCAAAATATCCCAAACATCCCAAATTCAATACCTGAACCATATTTTGGACCCAAATTCTGGCTCTCTGCACGTATTCGCAGTTTGAAATTCCGACTTTTTATACCAAAAATATGCCAATTACTGAAAGCGGCGGTGGGTCACATTTTGCCCAAACCCCCCTGCAGTTTTCAAAATATCAAAACATCCCAAATTCGATACCTGAGCCATATTTTGGACCTAAATTCTGGCTCTCTGCACCAATTCGCAGTTTAAAATTTCGAATTTTATACCAAAAATATGCCAATTACTGAAAGCGGTGGTGGGTCACAATTTGCCCAAACCCCCCTGTAGTTTTCAAAATATCCCAAACATCCTAAATTCGATACCTGAGCCATATTTTGGACCCAAATTCTGGCTCTCTGCACCTATTCGCAGTTTAAAATTTCGAATTTTATACCAAAAATCTGCCAATTACTGAAAGCAGTGGTGGGTCACATTTTGCCCAAACCCCCCTGCAGTTTTCAAAATATCCCATACATCCCAAATTCGATACCCGAGCCATATTTTGGACTGAAATTCTGGCTCTCTGCACCTATTCGCAGTTTGAAATTCCGTCTTTTTATACAAAAAATATGCCAATTACTGAAAGCGGCGGTGGGTCACATTTTGCCCAAAACCCCCTGCAGTTTTCAAAATATCCCAAACACCCCAAATTCGATACCTGAGCCATATTTTGGACCCAAATTCTGGCTCTCTGCACCTATTTGCAGTTTAAAATTTCGAATTTTATACCAAAAATCTGCCAATTACTGAAAGCAGTGGTGGGTCACATTTTGCCCAAACCCCCCTGCAGTTTTCAAAATATCCCAAACATCCCAAATTCGATACCTGAGCCATATTTTGGACCCAAATTCTGGCTCTCTCCACCTATTCGCAGTTTGAAATTCCGAATTTTTATTTAAAAACATGTATGTATACATACATATATATGCATTAAGCTTGAATGGTCCCCACACCAACATGCATCAGAAAACTCTTGACCCCGAAGGATTTGAACCCGGTCAGCCAGGGCCTCCATGCCCCTTGGCGTGTCCGGTACTATAACCATTCTGCCAACAGACTGTACAAAAGTACAGGGGTACCTCGGTTTACGAATTTAATCCGTTCCTGGAGACGGTTTGTCGTAACCCGAAAATTCATAAACCGATGCAAATTTCCCCATAAGAAATAATGGGAAATGAATTAATCTGTTCCTGACTCTCAAAAAAATTAACTTCAAAATAAATTTTATACCCAATTCACCCAAATCTTTACTACAAGGGTATGTACAAGTTATTACTTACCTTTACTGATGACTCCTGTTGACATATGGAAGATGGTGAGGAGGGGGGGAGGAGAGGTGTTAAGTGTTTGGAAGGGGAGTCTCCTTCCATTATAACATCAGGCAGTGAGGACTTCTCAGGGGTGCACACACTGGCATGTTTGGCCAGCAAACCACTAGGACCTAGTTGTGGCTCACTGCTTGATTTTCTCACTAGAAAAAGGTGCCATTGAAGATTGTTTTTCCCTTCTTTGCAACACTTGTCTGTAGTGAGGCATCACATTGTCATTGAAAAGATTAATGCAACAGCCTACTACAGCTTTCTCTGGGCGAGTCATTTCAACAAAAGTTTGCATTTCTTCCCATGGCCTACACCACTTCCTGATTGTTGAGGGACATTCTCTTCTGCCTCTTCCTCCCCTGAAGAAATATCCTCAGCTGCCTCTTGTTGCTGCTCCTTTTGAAAGGTTTGGGAGTTCTTCGGTGGTCAGTTCTTCGCTGTGTTCCTCCACCAACTCCTCCACATCAGCACCATCCAATTCTAAGCCCATTTTCCAGCCCAGAGTAACAATTTCCCCAACAATAGGCACTTTATTTACAGGCTCAAACCCCCTCAAAGTCTAGTTCTGAAACACATTAAGGCCACAATTTCCTCCAGCCAGAGATAAGGGTTCTCCGAGTCATTTCTTGCCAGGGTTCGTCAACGAGTTTTAAAGCACTACAAATATTAAAATGTTTTTTCCAGAACTTTGAGGGTGAGGTTTGTGGCATCAGTCTCTTCAAAACATTTCCGGGAAAGTGCCCTTTCATAAAGTTTCTTAAAATTCACAATGATTTTCTGGTCCATAGGCTATTCAATAGCCTATGGACATAGAGGAGTGGTGTTAGGAGGAACTTTATTGTGACAAAATTAAATTTGTCCAACAATGCTTCTTCCAAGCCTGGAGGATGAGCAGGAGCATTGTCGAGGAGAAGCAGGGCCTTGAGTGGCAAACTTTTCTCCTGCAGATATTTGTGTATGGCAGGGCTTTTCTGCACATTATATTTTTTGAAAACCATTGGATTTTCAGAATGACATACAAGCAAGGGTTTAATTTTCAAATCGTCACTCACGTTTCCACACAGCAAAAGCGTAAACCTATCTTTCATAGGCTTGTGTTCGGGCAATGACTTCTCCTCCTGGGTAATGTATATCCTCTTAGGCAATCTTTTCCAGAATAGTCCTGTCTCATCACAATTAAACTCTTGTTACGGTAGGTATCCCTCACTCTCTACAAAATCTTTAAATTCGTCAATAAATTTTTCAGCCGCTGATTTGTCTGAGCTGGCAACCTCCCCATGCCTCACAACACTATGAATACCACTTCTTTATCTAAATTTCTCAAACCATCCCCTGCTTGCCTTAAACTCTTTTGTATCTGCACTTGTTCCAGGGGTTTTCTTTACAAGGTCTTTGTGCAATACCCTGGCTTTCTCACAAATGATGGCCTCTGAAATGCTATCACCTGCTAACTCCTTGTTGTGTATCCAAATTATTAACAACTTTGCAACATCCTCAAGTATTTGTGTTCTTTGTTTTGTGATTGATACACCTTTTGCCACTTTAGCACTCAAAATGTCCTTTTTCTTGGCAAGTACAGTGCATATCGTTGACATAGATTTGTTGTACTGCTTAGCTAGTTCAACAACACGAGTACCATTTTCATGTTTACGAATGATCTCTTGTTTTTCCCCTATGGTCATTCTTACATGTGATTTCTTGTCTTGAACCTTACCACTGGCTTTCTTGGGACCCATGGCAAGATATATAAAAACAACTTTTACGCTCAAATAGCCAAAAATCCGAAATAGAGTGTAAATCCTTGCAAAGAATTCAGGCAGGATAGTCACTTAGCAGGAGGCACTGGTAAACTGAGGCGCGATCACCGTGCCACCACGTGCTAGGTCGGCCATACTCATATCAACAAACTCGTATCCCGAGGTAAAGTTTGTAACCCGATTCAAATTTTCCGAAGAAATTGGGCTTGTAACCCAATTCAAATTTGCCGAAGAAATCAGGCTCGTAACCCCAATAGTTCGTAAAGAGCGGCATTCGTAAAGAGGGGCATTCGTAAACCGAGGTACCATTGTATTGGAAAGTAACATTGACGCACAAATGTTACTCATGCAGCTCCAGCATGCTCAAGTGATTCTAACTAGCTGTATCAAACTACCACCGAGGGAGAGCAGAGGATGGACAAAAATAGAGGGTTACGATGATGAGGAGTAAGCAAGTACTGTAATTATTAGGAAAGTAAAATGAGTGTCGATTGATCTGATTTTCGGGATGTTCAATGTGCATGACGAAATGGGACAATGCAGTTTGGACAAAAGGAAGCACTACATTGTTCCATTAAGTAACCACACGTAAAGTGGGTGTGACCGATACACAACCTAACCCAGTTTCCCATCACATACAGTGGCAGGAGATGGCACAGCATCTCTGTGAATACCATCTGAGGGAGCCGGTCGGCCGAGCGGACAGCACGCTGGACTTGTGATCCTGTGGTCCCGGTGAGAAACAATGGGCAAAGTTTCTTTCACCCTATGCCCCTGTTACCTAGCAGTAAAATAGGTACCTAGGTGTTAGTCAGCTGTCACGGGCTGCTTCCTGGGGTCATAGGATATAGGTCATAGGCTGCTTCCTGGGATAGGCTTGGTCGAGGACTGGGCCGCGGGGACACTAAAGCCCCGAAATCATCTCAAGATAACCATCAGAGCTTACTGCTGTGGAGTGGCAAATCCAAAGGGCAATTCAACATGGGATTTCTGGGCATGGAAGTAAGGAGGGACATGAGAACCGAGCTCATTTGCAACCAACACAGGATCAGAGGCATCAATTCAAAGGAAACTTACCTAAGCATTACTGTTCTGCCACTAGAGTTGAATCCAAGACCATTTGATTAATAATAGACTGCACTAAACAAAAATATTCTTTTTAACATGTTTTGCACATTTCAGCAATTTTATAAATCTATCTTTTCCATTAAAATCTTTAAACACTTCTGTTAGTTTTAGTTGTAAATTTGGTTGTTTCTCCAACCATGCAGGAATAAGGTGGCAGTGACAAGGATCTACCTGAAACAAAAAATGCAATAATTAGAATTATTAAAATGTTTTATTTTTTTCATTATAGAATAACTATACCACATTTGCACGATTGTAAGTCTCATATTTTTATGATAAAACAATTTAAAAATATGGGGCGGGGTTTAAAATATATAGGTCGGGAAAAATTCATCGCATGGGCATTAACCTCACCCGTCACTAGTTATATCTTCCCAAGTGGTCACCACCATCATCATTACTTTCTCTATGTAAATCAGCATCACCAAGAGCATCAATCACACTGCACATACATGATGCAAAGTTATGAAAGCTATTTTTTTGTTTTGGCATGAATAAACTCTTCCAGATTTGTCAACTAGTTTAAACTTAGGCAAAGCAGATGAACAATTTGCACCTCCTCAGCAGGGATCTTTTTTAAACTATCCCTGCTGAATCTTTCTGAAGATACTAGACCAGTCCAGAATGACTACCAGAAAGCACATTTAAACAAAACCCAAGTCTCTTCCAAATACTCAATGACAACACGAGAATCACCAATCAGCTGCTACACCTGACTACCACCAGATGGCATTCAGGTGGTCACATTTGGTAGATGTTAGATGGGGGTGTGATTGGGTACAATTTCTGTTGGTGTTGGCTACAGGTAACTCTTCGAGAGCACTGTGTTCTGATTCACTTTTTTTCTCCTCTCTCTCTCTTCCTCAACCCGTGCTATGGTACTTTGTTCCAAGGCTATCTCAATTGCTTTGCATAGTGAAAATCGGCAGCAAATTTTCATACTTGCATGCTGTCTACCTTCCACAGATTCTCCATCCACAGTATCAGTATGTGGCACTGGTTTGACTATGGGGAGCCGGTCGGCCGAGCAGACAGCACACTGGACTTGTGATCCTGTGGTCCTGGGTTCGATCCCAGGCGCCGGCGAGAAACAATGGACAGAGTTCCTTTCACCCTATGCCCCTGTTACCTAGCAGTAAAATAGGTACCTGGGTGTTAGTCAGCTGTCACGGGCTGCTTCCTGGGGGTGGAGGCCTGGTCGAGGACCGGGCAGCGGGGACACTAAAACCCCGAAATCATCTCAAGATAACCTCAAGATAACTATCCTCCTGATGATTTTCACTATGGGCAGGGGATTGTGGCCATGGATGTCTGGTTCTCCTGTCAGCCCTTTCTGGCTCCATGCTATAGCACAGTACCAGAAACCTGTTGCCACCAGTTTATTTAAAATTTAAGAAACAGAACAGTTAAATTGTTTTAGATCAACCAGTTATAATTTCTTCCTACAGTGAATAACCAATCAGTACAGGGTAAAATAATGACTAATAATAAGATTAAACAAATTATAATCAATGAAGCATGAAATTAAAAAATATGGATTTCCTTCAAGGAGACTTTCTAGGAATGAGAGAGGAATTGCAGAACACCTCCTGGAGGAGTATCGATGTATCGTGGGGAAAACTTCCTGGAGCAGGTATCAATCCACAAAGAACAACATAGATTATGAGATACTATATACAGAAGAGCCATAAATTCTGAACCCAGGAAATCTGAGTACCCAAAAGAAATTATGAAAGAAAACTTGCTCAAAACAAAGGAATATCCAAAGTCTTAATATGCCTATACAAGAAGTAAGACCAAAACAAAAGCCTCGGTAGGACCCCCCAAAAGATGAGACCAAAGTTATAATTGACAATAAAACGGCAGTCAATAATGAATACCTAACATCAGTTTTCACACAAGTGTGTTTAGAAACCATTCCCACACCCATACACATGTTTGACACAGGTGAAGAGAATGAATTAAGGGATATCCCCATATCATGCAATATAATCAGGAAGAGCATTGACAAACTGAAAGATTCAAAAGCCCCAAGTGTGGACAGAATTCAATCCAAAGTCATTAAGGAACTACCAGCTGAAATATGTCTACAATTGAATCTTCTTTAAAAAAAATATCTCTGGACTCAGTTCCCCTAGACTGGAAATATGCAAATGCTACCCCCTATTTTCAAAAAAGACAGAAAGAACTTGGCTGAAAACTACTGTCCGATCAGTTTGACCTCACATATCTGCAAGCTCATGGAGAGAATCCTGAGAGGGTATATCATTCACCATCTCGCCGTGAACAATTTAATCAAATCAATGAAACATGTTAAAAATGAATCGTCCTTTGCAAACCTGCTCACATTCTTGGAAATGGTAATCAGCTATTCAGATAAATGTCTACTGTACCAGCAAAAATAGTATACATATACACTAAAGCTTTTGATAAATTGCCACATGAAAGACTGGCAAAGATATTATAAGCATGTGGAATAAAAGGTAGAATACTAGACTGGATCAATGGTTAAAACAAAGAAAGAAAAGGGGTTGTCCTAAACGAAAATGAATCTGACTGAAGAAATGTGGCGACTGGGGTACAGTAAGGGTCTATTTTGGTGCCAACCCTTTTTTGTCATATACTGTACAGTACATCAATGAAATTTGCAGATGATACTAAAATTTATAATAAGTGGGAAGTGACAATGATACTGAGGCCTTACAAAGCGATCTACTGAACTCCACAAATGGTCCGAAGATTGGCAAATTCTTTTAAATATAAGGAAATGGAAGACCTTGTGTGTGGGTCATAACAATGCACAAATCCAAATCAACATTAGCTAGCAGCAGATTAATTTAGTGAAGAAAAGGATCTTGGAATCAGACTCCATCAATCACTGAAACTTTCACAAGTGGGAGCGGCAGTAAAAAAAAAGTAAACCTAATCAAACAAAATTTTGATTTCAAGGAAAAGAAGGTACATGATGGAGATTTATTACACCTACACCTGGATTATTTTATCAAAGCATGGAGACTTCACCTTCATAAAGACATAACTGCTTTGAAGAAAGTTCAATGCCAAGCAATTAAAATAATTCCTGAACTAAATCGACTCTCATGCCAGGAACGGTTGAGGGCCAGAGGGCTAATAACACTGCAAAGCAGACATGACAGGGCTGACCTCACTGAAATGTTTATAATACAGTACTGAACAATTTGGAGGATGTTGATACATACCACTACTTCAAAAGGTCAGATGTAACATGAGCAAGGAGCAATGGTTTCAAGCTTAATAAGCCACAATGCAGGACAGAAAACAGGAGATGCTTTTTCACTCGACTATAAACAAATGGAAGCCTGCCAAAGCAGTAAATGCCAAAATGCTGCTCAATTTCAAAATCCAGCTGTACAGAATCATCAGAACAAATGGGGGGAAAACCTTCAACAAGCAGGTAGCTCCTGTCCTTGTCAAGGCCACTAGGGAGATAGTGGCCCTCATGTAAATTCAGGTAAATTAGTCATACATGATGACAAAGAAAACCATTACTTGGTACAAAGACACAAAACCACTTCTGGCAAAGAGAAATACAGAACAGACCCAGTGAAGAATATAAGTGCCAAAGACACAATTACAGAATCCTGTATAAACATCAGAGGCTAAAATGATGTTCAAATTTATGCATGCATGACCAATAAATACTTGACAAAAGATACTGTTGGAACATATTGGGGATTCTTCCCTAGAAAACAACCAAGTGGGTTCAACTCAGAAATAAGGATTTGAGAACATATAAATAGCTTCTTTCCAAGCAAAGTACTCTGTCCCTCCTGTTCCCTTTCAGCCCAACCACTTGGACTGAGCAGTAGAGTGATGGTCTTGCTTCAAGCAGGTTGGTGTTCAAACCCCGGCCGTCCAAGTGGTTGGGCACCATTCCTTACCCCCCCCCCCCCCCCCAAGTCCCATCCCAAATCCTTATTCTTACCCCTTCCAAGAGCTATCTAGTCATGATGGCTTGGCACTTTCTCCTGATAGTTCCCTTCCATTTTGTTTGGCTTACCATATGCTTATGGGGTTGGAGTTGGAGTGAAGACAAGTTGGCAATTTCCCCAGTGCTTGTTTACAGTACTGTAGTGGTGCCAACACCTAGTGGCATGTTTAGGTAGCACTCATACAGCAAGTTAGCATTTGGCTGAGTAATAATTGGGAGTCTATTTGAAGACGAGTATTGCCCAGAGAAAATTATTTTAGTGTAGATGATTAAACCTTATGGATATTGTTATAGGCTGGACAGAGAAATGTTTATCGTCTCCCTTGCTCCATTACTTGCACAGTGGGAACACTTTCAAATAAAGATGAGAGATATGCAAAGGAGAAGGTAACATCACCTGGCAGGTACTTTCCCATGTTCTTGTGAGTGTGACACCAGCCTGTTCTCCCAAGTGTTCCCAACATCATTAAATTGTTGTACTAAATTGTCAAAACCTAACCTACCTGAGGACCAAAGAACAGAAAACGGGACATCATGCCAATCTTGCGAGCTGCTACCATTTTGAGTACATCTGTTTTTGGCCTTAGGAAAATTATGTCAAAATGTGATGTACTATTCAGAAGAAATGGTTGGTGATTGCATGAGAAAATGATCTTCAAATTTATGCATGCATGACCAATAAATACTTGACAAAAGATACTGTTGGAACATATTGGGGATATAAGTAGCATGTTAGCCTAAAGCCTTACTTTTATATGATTATATACTCCCCCATATACAGTATATATACAAGTCCCCATGGTGTAGTGGTAAGACACTCGCCTAGTGTTTTGCGAGCGTTTTTGGCTGGGGAGGATTTATTGGGCACCAATCCTTAACTGTAGCCTCTTGTTTACCCAACAGTAAAATGGGTACCTGGTTGTTAAACGATTTGGCGGATCGTATTCCGGGAATATTAGGATTAAGGACCTGTCTGAAATGCTATGCGTGCTAGTGGTTATACAAGAGTGTAAGAACTCTCGTATACTTAAAAAAAAATAAAAAAATAAAAAAATAAAAAATTAATAAAAAAATAATAAAAAATATACTATGTTAGGTACCGTTCACAAAGTAAAAAAAAAGTAATAGATACAGTGCAGACCCTTGTTTAATTAACTACAGCCAATTCTGTGGAGTTTTTTCATTAATCTATAAATCAAGCATTAACATTTGGTATGCTTTGGTATATAACAATATACCTGTTTGCCTTGGGATAAAATACTGTACAATGTTGTATTAATTTTGAACTTTTTTTCACAATGCTCCTGTAAAATTATTTATATAAGGTACACATGTGATGTATTTAACTAATTTACAGGCTGATTTTTTTCATGTCTCACCAATGCCTTATCCAAATTGTGTTCAGTTTGTTACGTAGATGATGATGTCATGTAGAACATAACAGAACATGTTTGCGTGTGTGTTTGCACCACACGCAAACATGTTCTACATGTTCCCTGTTGTGTAATGGTAGCACACACATCATGTAGTGGTGGTACACACACATGATGGTACACATACGATGCACTGTACCAGCTATTTTATCTAGGTTTGAGCCATAACCAAGGAGGATTACTGGGTGCCAATCCTTGACTTTTCACCCAGAAAAAATTGGGGACCTGGATGTAAATTGACTGGCAGGTTGTGTTCCTTGCAAAACTAGTAGCGTAAGGCTTAACATGAGCTATGGGAAGGAAAAGCCGTATGCCCAGTAAAAACAAACAAAATGCATGTGCACACACACTCACCCCCTCACAAATACACATTGTGTAGTTGCCTGACAGTTGAGGGGCGGGACCAAAGAGCCGCCACTCAACCCCCGCAAGCACAACCAGGTGAGTGCAATTAGATGAGCACAACCATTTATCAAGAAGATTTTGGTTACTCTAAAAGTATGATATAATATTTACGCACCTCAAGGATCACAGAATGTCCATCAGGAAGGAGATACCGACTGTGAATTAGAATTGCCTTAATCACATCTAGGCCCTCCTTTCCTCCATCAAGGGCTCGCATGTCTTCATACCTAGAGAAATAACTCTGATATTAAAGAATATTGAAAATGGCAATGAAACTCATAACTAAAAGATTATATATATATACAGTATATATATATACACAGTATGTTATAATTTGTTATCTTTTATTCCTAGCCACATGCTAGGAACATACATGAGTATATTCAACTTTTCATGTTGAAAAGTTTATTGAAATAAAGCTTCAGAATTTTAAGGTTACTTACACCATGATTTCTGGTTGGACATTCAGGAGATCTTTCCTGAGAACGTATGGTGGATTAGATATAATAAGACTAAAGTTGTCTTGAGGTAAACTTGGCATCTTCTCTCGTGTTACTTTTCCTTTGACTAGCAGTAATCGATCACTAACTTTGTTATTAGCTGCATTGAGTTGGGTTAATTCTATGGCATGTTTACTGTGATCCAATGCCACACACTGAAGCTGCAAAGATAAAGTTTCATATTATAATGGTATAACTAAAGTGGAACAGGAATTTCCTTAAGTACTTTCGTATTTAATAATACATCTTCAGAAGGGTGAAGATGTATTATTAAATACGAAAGTACTTAAGGAAATTCCTGTTTCAGTTCTTCCTCCAATTCCTGTCACAATTCAAGGGTGTTGATACGCGTACAGGCTGACCTAGCACGTGGTGGTACGGCGATCACCCCTCGGTTTACCAGTGCCTCGCACCCAGTGACTATCCCACCTCAATTCTTCACCAGGATTTTCAGTTTTGTTGGATTTTTGGTCATTTGACCATAAAAGTTGTTATTATATACCTCACCATGGGTCCCAAGAAAGCCAGTGGTAAGGATCAAGGCAAGAAAGCGCATGTGAGGATGACAATAGAGGAAAAACAAGAGATCATTTGGAAGCATGAAAATGGTACACATTGTTGAACTTTGTAGGCAGTACAACAAAGCCACGTCAACGATATGCATTATACTTAGCAAGAAAAAGGACATTATGAGTGCTAAAGTGGCAAAAGGTGTAAGAACAATCACGAAACAAAGACCACAAATACTTGAAGTGGAAAAGTTGTTATTAATTTGGATACGCAACAAGGAGTTAGCTGGTGATAGTGTTTCAGAGGCCATCATTTGTGAGAAAGCCAGGGTATTGCACGAAGGCCTTGTAAAGAAAACCCCTGGAACGAGTGCAGATACGATAGACTTTAGGGCAAGCAGGGGATGGGTTGAAAAATTTAGAAAAAGAAGTGGTATCCATAGTGTTGTGAGGCATGAGGAGGCAGCCAGCTCAGACAAACCAGTAGCTGAAAGATTTATTGAATTTAAAGAGCTTGCAGAGGCTGAGGGATACCTACTGCAACAAGTTTTTAATTGTGATAAAACAGGACTGTTCTGGAAAAGAACAGTCCTGTTTTCATTTCTAACGTCAAGAAACTGTACACTAAAGCACTATTCCAAAAGTTCTTTGAAGTGATTTCTGATACCCAGTTAACTGTGAATTCTGGAAAAACCACTTCAACATCCTACATTGTCTAAGCCTCAGAGACAAAGCCTGAAGGAAGCCTCTTACAAGACCATGAACTCTGCCTGGAGGAAACTGTGGCCAGATACTCTAACAGAAAGGGACTTTGAAGGCTTTGACACTGTCGTGGAGGATATTGTGTGTTTGGACAGGTCATTGGGCTTAGAGGTTAGTGCTGATGATGTGGAGGAGTTAGTGGAGAAGCAGAGAGTAGAGCTCACCACAGGAGGAGTTAGTGGAGGAGCAGAGCTCACCACTGGAGGAGTTAATGGAGGAGCAGAGCTCACCACTGGAGGAGTTAGTGGAGGAGCAGAGCTCACCACTGGAGGAGTTAGTGGAGGAGCAGAGAGTAAAGCTCACCACTGGAGGAGTTAGTGGAGGAGTAGAGCTCACCACTGGAGGAGTTAATGGAGGAGCAGAGCTCACCACTGGAGGAGTTAGTGGAGGAGCAGAGAGTAAAGCTCACCACTGGAGGAGCTAGTGGAGGAGCAGAGAGTAGAGCTCACCACTGGAGGAGTTGGTGGAGGAGTAGAGCTCACCACTGGAGGAGTTAATGGAGCACAGAGCAGAGCTCACCACTGGAGGAGCAGAGAGCACAGCTCACCAGGGAAGAACTGCAGGACCTTCACAGGGAGCAGCAACACATGGCAACCAAGGAGTTCTCTTCAGAGGATAAGGGTTGGGAGGATGTCCCTAGTTATCTAATAAAAGAAATGTGTGCAAAATGGAAGGGGGAGGGACTGCAAAGATTTCTTGAATAATATCACCCAGACAAAGTTGTGACAAACCGTGTTATAAACCTGTTGAATGACAATGCTATGTCTCACTTTAGAAACATTTTAAAGCACAAGCAAAAGCAATCATCCTTGGAAAAGTTACTTTTAAGAAAAGTATCAACAAACCACAAATTTTGAATAGGAAACAGACAATATATCCATGCATCAGATACAGCACAGACATTTTGTATAATATAGAGAAAAGCCATGGAGACAAGTGACACCCCACACACCCTAAAACCTGTGGATAGTCTCAACTCAATACAGCAACTTAATGATATAGTAATTCCTCAAATTTCCAGATGATAAAATTATGATTTATTAACTTACATTATGGATGCAGTTAAGTAGGGATATACAAATAGCTCCAGAGCCACAGCCAATCTCTAATATTCGAGGCATTTTCATTCCTTGTAAACATTCCAAAGCCAATTCAACCAACTGTTCTGTCTCGGGACGAGGAATGAATACGGGTGGTCGCATCTTGAGGGTTACCGAATGGAAGTCCCATTCACCTAATATGTATTGTAATGGCATCCTGTAATGTCAAAAATAAGCAATTTTTATAGATTTTTAGTATTAATGTATAGCACATGTCTATAAGCACAGACTTAATATACACTAGTAAACAATACACAATTGATAGACAAGTGCAGTGGACATGTGTCTACCAATCAGCCGACTTGGGATGCCACCGAATTTATATGGAGAAAAATGGAAATGAAGCCAGTCACCCACACTCAACAAAACCATGACTCATTTAATTAGGTACATTTCCCTCAAAAATATTATGAAAAGATGATTGTTTGGATGATTGATTAGGCAGTTGACTTTCCATTTCCATTTTCCATATTATTTTTAAATATCCAGCCCAGTCAAATGTGAACTAATGAATTAACTTATGGCCACCACGATAGTCATATTCATTTCAATAATATGTCTCCCTACCTGCTATCCTATGATGCCCCTGAGAGAGCCACGGGCAGTTCAAGCATAATACTGTAGCAGCAAAATTAAAGTTGGATAATTTAACACTGTACTGTCCAAAAACTTTCAGCCATGTCTTTATCTTCATGTGCATGGTGTAAGCTCTTTATTAACTACAGGTCGTGCAACTAACCAGTGTGTGGCTGTTTCTGGGAAGACTCCCGCAAGAACTCCCAGAGCCAAGTACTGGTCAAGCCAAGCCTTATCAAGATGCACTATGCTTCTGAAACTCATTCTTGCCTTCCAGGCTCCAGGATCAGAATCTGGCTTTCTCTATGAAGCAAGAGCAGCTTGAGGACCAGATGTCAACTCCAAACCAAGAAAAAAACAGAAAGCATAAGTATAACAAGCAATTGCTTGATGCTAATGAAGTACCCTTTGGGAACAAAGCAGACATTAGTTGACAAGGTATGAATGACCTAATCACGATGTGCTTGGCCACCACCAGGGGACAACCCATATCCACTGTGGTCCCAATCACCCCATCTCCTCACCCCCACAAGCTGCCCAAATCAAATCCCATCACTAATGAGGAGGAAGGGAATAGGACAGAGTAATTGAGGGCCCCACCAGAAGAGGGCATTTCATTATATTCAATGCTTCATTTTTGCAAAACCCCCCCCTCAGTAACTCCTAGAATTAGTTCCCATTGGCACCTTAGTAAAGGAGACTTGGAGTTCTGAAAACAAAAGCAGTAAACAGCAATATGTTGTCAGGATTTACCCATGGGGTAAGACTGCAGAAGAGGGGCCCAGTCAGAGGGGGCATCAAATGCCAAGTGCAACACAAGTGTAGCAAGGCTGAGGGGGGTAGGGGACCCAGGCAGAATAAAAGTAAACAACAAGGCAGGAAATGCCAGAAAAAGCCCCAAGCCCAAACAGCAGCCAAACAGTGAGGAAACTATATTAAACTTTCATTTCCATACTATTATGTTTTTCCTCTATCTCTTTTCTCTCCTCCGGTGTTGCCTATTAGGTAACACTTCTAAAATAACATACCTGGTTCCCAGATGTTCGGCCCCAAGGGTGTCCAGACTAGCACCTTGTGGTGTCAGGTAGGTGCCAGGCATCCCAAAGTTCAGTGGCTCATGTCTCAGGAATTGCTGAGCTTTAAGAATTGATATTATGACATACAGTAGCAGGGTATGTACCAATACAATAGCAGTATTTTTATTCATCTTGTGTGTCCAGAGATTAGAAACTGGACACCCATGTTCAGGAGTCATGAACCCAGAACATGAGTCACAGTAATGTAATGTAAAGCAAATGAATAAGGTGAATGAGGTGTGAACTCCTTCCTTGGGAAACACTGAGCATTCAGGCCCGATATTAACAAGCAAGGTAACATGGTGGAGTTTGGCATGAATCAGTGGCATTTGAAATGGACTTGAAGATACAAAACTTGGTGTAAGCATCCAGAAACCAAACATAAGGTCAATTTTGGTACCATTCTCTGGATATCCCTTATTAGCCATGTCTACCCCAATGTCACATTACATTTAAGAACTGTACTTGGCACCGTGGAAAAGATTTAATTTTTATATTGATGACAATTTTGATCTTTTACTTCTGTTGGAGCTCTTGATTTTCAGTCTGACCTTCCCAGAAGACACATGCACTCTTTTTAAATAATAACAATAATGCCAACCATGTTCCAAATTATGAAACAAACGGTGAAGGAGAGCAACAGCAGGCAAAGACAACAAATGTATTTTTAACAAAAGTAGCTTTAAGAAAAAATCCCAACAGTGGAGAAAGATACTCAATATGACCACAGCATTTATAGATTATGGAATTGAATACACAATTTTAAAATAATTTATCTGGTACCATAACAATACAGCTATTTGTTACATACACAAATATATACTTAATGTGTGGGTACATTGGATGCCCATTTACACAAATCTTAGCCAGACTACATGTGAGATAAACAGCAGGGGAAAAGAATAAGGACTCTGCAGTTCATCAAAGGGACAGGATGCCTATTATCATTATTGAGGTCCCTCAAGACCAACAACTGACTTTTCCCAGAGTGTGGCCCACAACAGCTGCCTTACTGGATAAGTTTCTACTGGGATTACCAGATCCATCTTGCAGTGATGGCTATGTGGGTCTGTGGACTACAAAGGCAAACAGCCTCATAAACTAGCCAATCACGAGAGCAGCCTGGCCACAGGCCAAGCTGCAAGAGTAGAAGAACTCTTGAAATCATCAATACGTAAAACAGATAACTCCTAAGTACCTATTTTCTGTTAGACAAACAGAGGCATCAGTTGAAAGCAAGTGTTCCCAAATGTCTCCATCCTGCCTTCGAGTGAAATCCAGGTTAATAGTACAAATGACAACAGCATGCTTGATTTGATTTAAAAAATTTAAGCTAGAGGACGTACATTTACTCTATAGACTAATTTTTAGAGCAAACATTTCTACAATTTTAAGCACAATGAAAATAATATATATTATATTTAAAATAAGAAAAAACATGAATTCAGGTACGTAAGTGTTTACCTTGCAAGCCTACATGTCATTAACCGATCCACTTCAGTGAGCTCGGCCTCAGATAGTACTACTGAAGCATGTCTCTCCAACTCCTTCTGAAAATTTAGTGTAAACTTTTATTTATATTTTACATAATAAATATTCACTATAATGCTACATAAATTGATTTCACACTAAACGTGTAAAGTAAGTACAGTCCGTGCACTTAATGAACCCATTATAATAAATAAATAAATGTTTATTTAGGTGAAAGTACATATAGTAACATACAAAATGAGTTACAAACAGAATGTTGGATTTCTAGATAGAGCAAGTACATACAATGCATAAAGCCACTAATACTGTATATTTATATACTTCAGGCATATATTGGTTATACAAGACCATGATATATGGCATATATCATGGTATTGTAGAGGTTGTTCATCCTGGTATGTTTCAAAATGCAAATAATATTATAAATATACTTTGAAACATAAATGTCATCCTCCATTTGTTTGTACTTTATAATATAAAATATATTTACTGTACATAGATAGAATTATTGAGGGGTGCGGTTGGGGTGAACATGTGAGGGGTGTGGTTGGGGTGAACATGTGAGGGGTGTGGCTAGGGTGAACACGTGAGGGGTGTGGTTGGGATGAACATGTGAAGGGTGTGATTATGGCAAACACATGAGGTTGAAGGGTTGGCTGGCTGGGGTAAATGGAGTGTACAGTCAGTGGGGTGGACAATACAGTAGCAATTACAAAGGCTTTTACTAGAAAACCATCTGGTAGTTTACCTTGTGTTCAAGAATCGGCCTGTGGTGATCCCAAGGATCAACGTCTCCAGAAGGCCGGTCTCTGACCCGGCCTTCTGGTTAGTTGTCTGGTCAATCAAGTTGGATGTGGCTGCTTACAGCCTGACATATGAATCACAGCCTGGTTAATCAGATATCTGTTGGAGGTGTTTATTGAATTCTCTCTCGAACACTATAAGAAGCTGGCCAGTTATGCCCTTTATATGTTGAGGAAGAGTGTTCAAAAGTTTTGGGCCTATGATGCTGATACCTGTAGTTGGTTCTCTCTCAGCATACCTACTGCACCTCTGCTTTTCAAAGTGGCTATTTTGCACATCTTGCCATCCCTCCTGGTCTCACATGTTATTTTCATGTGCAGATTTGGATCAGTCCCTCTAATATTTTCCAGATGTAAATTATGATGTACCTGTACAGGTATCTCTCTAGCCTACACTCCAGAGAATACAGATTTTTTAAATTTAACCACTCCCAATGATTTAGATGTTTTATAGAGTGGATTCTAGCAATAAAGGATTTTTTTGCATTTTCCAGGTCAGCAATTTCTCCAGCTATGAATGGGCCAGCTATTGTGCAGCAATATTCCACCCTAGAGAACACTAGTGTCTTAAAAAAGTATCATCACTGGTATGGCATCCCTTATTTGAAATTTTCTCATTATCCAACATCACTTTTTTCCAGTAATGACAACTACTTTATTGCATTCTTCAAGGGTAAAGTCTTCCAATATGATTACTCCCAGATTCTTTACATTGCTTTTTCAGTCTATAGTGTGATTTGACTATTTTATACTGTATATTAATTTCTCCCATAGTACAGGAGCTGGAACTTCATTAAACATCATATTATCTGTGGGCCAATGAAAGACCTAATTTACATCAGATTGGAGGTTTCATGGGGCATTGTCTATATTGTCTACTATCCATGAAAATCCTAGTGTCATCTGCAAAGGTTGATACAGTACTGTAGTTTGTATCATTGTCTACCTCTGGTAAGAGGATGAAAAGAAGTACCAGGGCAAATTACGGTACCTTGGGGGACTGAGCTTTTCATGGTGGATGATCTGTATTTTAATTTGTTTACAATTACACTCTGGGTTCTGTTTGTTAGGCAGATAAAGATCCATCTCCCTACTTTGACCGTAATTTCTTTGGAATGCATTTTGTGTGCAATAGCACCTTGGTCACATCTGTTGAAATCTTTTGCAAAGTCAGCATATAATGCACCAGTGTTTTGCTTGTCTTCCATGATATCTAAGGCCATGTTATAGTGATCTAGCAACTGTGATAGGCAATAGCTCCCCACTCTGAAACCATATTGTCTAGGGTTATGTAGACATTGTGAGTTGTGATCTGACTTTTTAGCACTCTTTCAAAGATTTTGATGATGTGTGATGTTAAGGCTACTGGTCTAATATACTGTATAATTTTTTTGCATCTGCTTTACTACCTTTGTGAAAAGGTGCAATCTCCACTGTTTTTAGTACATTGGAGATAACATCCCTATCTAGGCTGTCTCCAAAAAATGTTCAGGGCCTGTGATAGTGGCATTTTGAACTTCATACTGTACTTAGAGCAATTTTTTTTGTATGTAGAATTTTCTCTTAAAGCAAAGTTATACAGTATACAGTATCATACACATCTGTCAATACAAAATACTGTACTTGGCTATAAAATATATCAGCTATAAATTGAAATCAAATACACCAAGTACAATATAGATTGTATACACGTACAGTATAACAGTACAGTATAAGCAAGTTTGAGAGCAGTGGGTGTTTCTTCAGATGGACTGCCGAGCCTGACCACAAACAGCCTTGGCCTCTTACTGGACCATCACAACATTACACTTTCTCCACACACACCACCCATATCCACCCCCCCCCCACACACACACACTCAACACAATTGCTCTTCTGTTATACTCACATTCTAGTTTTTATACCTTATATAAACTATTTTTAACTAGTACACTACAATATGCTAGTACAGTATAAAATTAAACAAAAGCAACTTACTCGTGATACTCCAAGGATGTACGAAATGATGTACTCAACAGCCAAACATGCTTCTGGCACCTGAGCTGCCTCCAATTTTCCTGTCCAGTCAATCAGTGTGTCCTTCACAGTGAGAGCGCAAGTTGAGTAGGCCCTGTGACTCAAGTCAGTATGTATCGCGCTCTGATGAAGTGAACAGGTTAAGTGGTGCTTCATGCCAGTTCTCCCGGCTGCACTATATCTTGTGCAATTCTGAGGTAATGTGTGGGAACTCTTTGATATTTGTTTGTGCGGTATTGGACGAGGATCGCAAGATTGTTCAGTAATTCTTTTGTATAAACTTGCTGGCATGTATGTGTGAAAACCCCCATGATTTTGTGTAACAGGAATTAATATTTTCCATGAAACCATATTCTTTGCCAAGTTTTGTTTACAAATGGAGCAATGATAATGCAATGAGGCAAGTGTGTGTGTAACGGTGGTGCAGAGCCTCTGAAGATATACCGGTAGTCCAAGAGCCATTCTGAATCTGAAATTAAAAAGCAGTATAACTACAAACTGATATAAGAAAACTGTATTAAAGACAAGTACTGCATACTGTATTAACTGACTTTTATTCTTGCCATGCAATATGGTAAAGGTACAAGGGCTAGGATGTTATGAAAGGATTTATTTATTTTTTGGTCTTCCAGCCATCACACACACATACTCTCAAGTAGCCATCACAATTATGCATAAAGTACAGTATATAATTTTTTTTTTACAGCTGAGTACAGAATATGACTTCTTATACTACTGTATAAACAGACTTAGAGCTCTCTTTTCCCTCAGATTATCTTACGCCTTATGCCTACCCTAACAGTTGTACCTAGAAAACTATTTGTAAATTGGTTTATATCCTGGTCCCCAATTACTGCTGGGTAAACAGGGCTGAACCATTATCCTAAGGATCAGTGCCTAGTCGTACCTCCCTGTCCAAGGCTTGAACCCAGCAGATATAGCTCATGGGCTTATCAATTCTGATGTTATCCTATATCCAAATATGGCTGCACTTAGTTCAATTAGCCTGCAACCAGTCATTACCTAGGTGTAAACATACCCAACTGTAGATGTAAGACAATAGCTACACTTGTAGTATTTTGTCTTCCCAATAATATTTGCCATTGTGATCTTGTTGTGATACTGTATTTGTTTTAGCGGGCTTCGGAAAACCGAGCTCATACAGTGCTAAAGAAATTGTTCACGACCTTTGTGAGACCAAAGCTGGAATATGTAGGGGTTGTATTGTGCCCGTATCTTAAGAACATCAACAAACTGAAAAAGGTGCAAGAACATGCAACTAAATGGCTCCCAGAACTGAAAGACAAGAGCTACGAGGAGAGGTTAGAGGCATTAAATATGTCAAAACTAGAAGATAGAAGAAAAAGAGGTGACCAATATGATCACTATGTACAAAATAGTAATTGGGAAATTGACAAAATTGATTGGGAAGAATTCCCAAGACCTGGAACTTCAAGAACAAGAGGTCATAGATTTAAACTAATTAAACAAAGGTGCCAAAGTTATAGAAGAAAATTCACTTTGGCAAACAGTGTGATAGATGGTTCGACCAAGTCAAATCAAATCAAATCAAATGTTTATTTAGGTAAGGTACATACATACAAGAGATTTTACAAAGAGTGATGGATTTATAGATAGGGCTAGTACATACAATGCCCAAAGCCACTATTACGCAAAGCGTTTCGGGCATTTAAAACTTAAATGACTAAAGCTTAATACTAATTGAGCATAAAGAGTAAAATGAAAACATGGAATGAAAACATAGCTGAAAAAGCAGCACAAATACAATTCTGTCGACAAACAGCGCTCTTTAAAAAAAAAGACATTGGTTGGTAACATTCTCACCAAGTTAGGTGAGAAGGTGGTGGAGGCCAAAACTGTCAGTAGTTTCAAAGCATTATATGATAAAGAGTACAGTATTGGGAAGACAGGACACCATGAGCGTAGCTCTTATCCTGTAATTACTTAGGTACCTACACTTAGGTAACTGCAAACACATACACACTATTAACTTGGATTTAATTACATTGGTACTTCAACTATTTTCCTATTGGAGTCACAAGTGACAGAGGCTGGTGGTCAGCACAGCTCTGGTCCTGTCAGCAGATGCGTGACAGTGGCTGGTGGTCAGCACTGCTCTGGTCCTGTCAGCAAACATGTGACGGTGGTGGCTGGTAGTGCTCTGGTCCTGTCAGCAGACATGTGACGGTGGCTGGTGGGGCTCTGGTCTTGTCAGCAAATGCGTGATGGTGGCTGGTTGTCAGCACGGCTCTAGTCCTGTCAGTGGACACGTGACGGTGGCTGGTGATGCTCTGGTTCTGTCAGCAGACACGTAACAATGACTGGTGGTCAGCACTGTTCTGGTCCTGTCAGCAGACGCGTGAGAGTGGCTAGTGGTCAGCACTGCTCTGGTCCTGTCAGCAGACGTGTGACGGCGGCTGGTGGTCACCACTGCTCTGGTCCTGTCAACAGATGTGTGATGGCAGCTGGTGGTCACCACTGCTCTGGTCCTGTCAACAGACGTGTGACGACAGCTGGTCACCTCTGCTCTGATCCTATCAACAGACGCATGATGGCAGCTGGTGGTCACCACTGCTCTGGTCCTGTCAGCAGACACTACGTGATGGTGGCTAGTGGTCACCACTGCTCTGGTGCTGTCAGCAGACGCTATGTGATGGTGGCTAGTGGTCACCACTGCTCTGGTCCTGTCAGTGGCAGACCTGACCACATGTAAACTGTGTCAACAAAATTATTCGCACACCCTCTGTCACTATGTGATGGAGTGCGAAAAGATACGTGAATTTAAGAGACAATTCTATAATCAATGTTCCAGCGATGTGTAAATATTTCATTCAAAATGATCTGCTACCAGAAATTTTAGCCAAATGTCCCCAGTTTGCTAACTGTAGGTAGTAACTAAGTGATTGTAACCTATCCACCGCTGCCCACTGGATGGGGGGCGGTGTGTAGGACAAGCATATCAATTATGACACTAGCTCTCCACATATGTCAGGTGCTTAATTTAGAAACTGTACTTGTGGTCGATCTCGAACCCATTGTTGATGTGACGACTTGTACTGAATTTTGTAACTAGCTCATCAAGATTGTAACTTGCTTAGCTAAATGAACTGTGGTGTTTAGTCCCTGAGCCCATTATGTGCCTCTGTAACCCTTTCCACTACCGCCCACAAGCATAATAAATGAACCAAACTAACCTGTCAGCAGACGCTGCGTGACGATGGTATCTGACCGCCCCTCCATGTAGTACCTTGGTTACAACACTGGTACCTGGCTTTACGAAGACACTGGCCAGCATTACCGACGTAAATATTTGACCGAGATATACGTAAATTATTTTCTGACAAACAGAGGGTGAGCGGAGGGTGATGATCACCTCACACTACACGTAAACACACTCCTCAAGTGTTCTATAACTACTGCTAAGAATTCCGGACTGGATACTTTGTGTTTTAATTGTGGTGGTTTAAAACAAGGCCTTATAATTAACAGGCCACGATAAAATTAGATGAATATTTCGACATTCCTAACGTTATATCTGCACTTAATTAGACTGCCCGAAACGCTTTGCGTAATACTGGCTTTAGGCATTGTATGTACTAGCTCTATCTATAAAGCCAACAAACATTGTAAAATCTCTTTATGTATGTACCTTTACCTAAATAAAAATTATTATTATTATTATTATTATTATTATTATAGACGTACGACCAAACAGCTGACTGAGACCGAGTACACTGCTGCTCATTTGGTACAAAATATTCACAATAAAACTTTTATCATTAAACTTAGTTATTAGTTACTTTTTAAGCGCTGTTATACATCCTTTAAATCCATTCTAACTTGTTCGAAATTAAAACTTTTATAGTAGCATTTACTACTGTAGTAGGAAGTGTTGCCTAGCAACTATAGTTTACTCATTCATGTCCAGCTGATTTCCAGTCAAAACAAATGATTTCTTGTACCGGCGGTCAATGACTCCTATGTTTATTTAATGTGTTTCAAGTGATAATATTCACACAAAATATGAAATACTTAAATATTCAAGGCGTCAAATATATAGTTAAAATTTACAAGAAGTCTTCGAATTCACGTTCAATTTATACCCTGAGCAAGAATAAAATCATGACGTCATTTTGACGTCACAAATCTTGTGCGCTCCGTGTGGATGTGTATTTACTATTTGTGTCTGCAAAATCGAGTCATTAGCTCTTGGACCTCGCCTACCTAAGCAATTTATTTTTCCTCTAGTATACCTGCTACACATATTTTCCTCTAACTCACACACCTGTGTACTCACCTAGTTGTGCTTGCGGGGTCTGGCTCTGGCTCTTTGGTCCCGCCTCTCAACTGTCAATCAACTGGTGTACATATTCCTGAGCCTACTGGGCTCTATCATATCTACATTTGAAACTGTATATGGAGTCTGCCTCCACCACATCACTTCCTAATGCATTCCATTTGTTAACTATTGACACTTAAAAAGTTCTCTCTAACGTCCCTGTGGCTCATTTGGATACTCATTTTCCACCTGTGTCCCCTTGTTCGCGTACAACCTGTGTTAAACAGTTTATCCTTATCTACCTCAGTCAATTCCACTGAGAATTTTGTAGGTAGTGATCATGTCTCTCCTTACTCTTCTGTCTTCCAGTGTCGTGAGGTGCATTTCACGTAGCCTTTCCTCGTAATTCATGCCTCTTAGTTCTGGGGCTAGCCTAGTGGCATACCTCTGAACTTTTTCCAGCTTCGTCTTGTGCTTGACAAGATACGGGCTCCATGCTGTGGCCGCATACTCCAGGATTGGTCTTACATATGTGGTATACAAGGTTCTGAATGATTCCTTACACAGGTTCCTGAAGGCAGTTCTGATGTGTTCTGATGTTAACCAGTCTTGCATACGCCGCAGATGTAATTCTTTTTATGTGGGCTTCAGGAGACAGGTTTGGTGTGATATCAACTCCTAGAATTTTCTCTCTGTCCGTTTCATGAAGGACTTCATCTCCCATTCGGTATCCTGTGTCTGGCTTCCTGTTTCCACCGCCTAGTTTCATTACCATATATTTACTCGGGTTGAACTTTAGTATCCATTTGTTGGACTATTCATTCAGTCTGTCTAGGTCATCTTGTAGCCTCATACTATCTTCCTCTGTCTTAATCCTCCTCATAATTTTGCATCATCAGCAAACAAAGAGAGGAACGATTCTATACCCTCTGGGAGATCATTTACATATATCAGAAACAGTATAGGTCCAAGGACTGACCCCTGCGGGACTTCACTGGTGACGCCCCGCCAAGCTAAGACCTCACCCCTCACAGTGACTCGCTGTCTTCTTTTCCTTAGGTACTCCTTTATCCAATGGAGTACCTCCCCTTTCAATCCTACCTGCATCTCTAGCTTTTGCACTAGCCTCTTGTGTGGCACTGTGTCAAAGGCTTTCCTGACAATCCAAAAATATGCAGCCTGCCCACCCTTCTCTTTTTTGCCTGATTTGGGAGATGAAGTATCCACTAAGTGGACAGCGCTTGGGACTCGTAATCCTAGGGTCCGGGTTCGATCCCGGCGATGGTAAAAAACAAATGGGCAGAGTTTCTTTCACCATGATGCAACTGGGAGTTAGACAGCTGTTACGGGCTGCTCTTTTTTTGTGTTTGTGTGTTTGTACTCACCTAGTTGTACTCACCTAGTTGTGCTTGCGGGGGTTGAGCTCTGGCTCTTTGGTCCCGCCTCTCAACCGTCAATCAACAGGTGTACAGATTCCTGAGCCTATTGGGCTCTATCATATCTACACTTGAAACTGTGTATGGAGTCAGCCTCCACCACATCACTTCCTAATGCATTCCATTTGTCAACCACTCTGACACTAAAAAAGTTCTTTCTAATATCTTTGTGGCTCATTTGGGCGCTCAGTTTCCACCTGTGTCCCCTTGTGCGTGTGCCCCTTGTATTAAATAGCCTGTCTTTATCTACCCTATCAATTCCCTTGAGAATCTTGAATGTGGTGATCATGTCCCCCCTAACTCTTCTGTCTTCCAGCGAAGTGAGGTTTAATTCCCGTAGTCTCTCCTCGTAGCTCATACCTCTCAACTCGGGTACTAGTCCGGTGGCAAATCTTTGAACCTTTACCAGTTTAGTTTTATCTTTGACTAGATATGGACTCCATGCTGGGGCTGCATACTCCAGAATTGGCCTGACATATGTGGTATACAAAGTTCTGAATGATTCTTTACACAAATTTCTGAATGCCGTTCGTATGTTGGCCAGCCTGGCATATGCCGCTGATGTTATCCTCTTGATATGTGCTGCAGGAGACAGGTCTGGCGTGATATCAACTCTCAAGTCTTTTTCTTTTTCTGACTCCTGCAGAATTTCCTCTCCCAGATGATACCTTGTATTTGGCCTCCTGCTCCCTACACCTATCTTCATTATATTACATTTGGTTGGGTTAAACTCTAACAACCACTTGTTCGACCATTCCTGCAGTTTGTCTAGGTCTTCATGAAGCCTCAAACAGTCCTCTTCTGTCTTAATCCTTCTCATAATTGTATGTGTGTTTGTGTGTTTGTGTGTGTGTGTGTGTGTGTGTGTGTACTCACCTAATTGTACTCACCTAATTGTGCTTGCGGGGGTTGAGCTCTGGCTCTTTGGTCCCGCCTCTCAACCGTCAATCAACTGGTGTACAGATTCCTGAGCCTATTGGGCTCTATCATATCTACATTTGAAACTGTGTATGGAGTCAGCCTCCACCACATCACTTCCTAAAGCATTCCATTTGCTAACTACTCTGACACTGAAAAAGTTCTTTCTAACGTCTCTGTGGCTCATTTGGGTACTCAGCTTCCACCTGTGTCCCCTTGTTCGCGTCCCACCAGTGTTGAAAAGTTCATCCTTGTTTACCCGGTCGATTCCCCTGAGGATTTTGTAGGTTGTGATCATGTCCCCCCTTACTCTTCTGTCTTCCAGTGTCGTGAGGTGCATTTCCCGCAGCCTTTCCTCATAACTCATGCCTCTTAGTTCTGGGACTAGTCTAGTAGCATACCTTTGGACTTTTTCCAGCTTCGTCTTGTGCATGACAAGGTACGGGCTCCATGCTGGGGCCGCATACTCCAGGATTGGTCTTACATATGTGGTGTACAAGATTCTGAATGATTCCTTACACAGGTTCCTGAACGCCGTTCTGATGTTAGCCAGCCTCGCATATGCCGCAGACGTTATTCTCTTTATGTGGGCTTCAGGAGACAGGTTTGGTGTGATATCAACTCCTAGATCTTTCTCTCTGTCTGTTTCATTAAGTACTTCATCTCCTATTCTGTATCCTGTGCCTGGCCTCCTGTTTCCACTGCCTAGTTTCATTACTTTGCATTTACTCGGGTTGAACTTCAACAGCCATTTGTTGGACCATTCACTCAGTCTATCCAGGTCATCTTGTAGCCTCCTACTATCATCCTCTGTTTCAATCCTCCTCATAATTTTTGCATCGTCGGCAAACATTGAGAGGAACGAATCTATACCCTCTGGGAGATCATTTACATATACCAGAAACAGTATAGGTCCAAGGACTGACCCCTGCGGGACTCCACTTGTGACGTCTCGCCAATCTGAGACCTCACCCCTCACACAGACTCGTTGTCTCCTGTTGCTTAGGTATTCCTCTATCCACCGGAGTACCTTCCCTCTCACTCCAGCCTGCATCTCCAACTTTCGCACTAGCCTCTTGTGTGGCACTGTATCACACACACACACACACTGTGTGTGTGT